CCAATTAGCGACAAAGCTGGGTTTGTTAAAGCAGCTGGGGAGATTTCTGTCTGCCCCATTTACTAATGCGGACATGTGGACAGTTTAAATCTTCTGTTACCACGACCATTCTGACCCAAAACTGTAGTTTTAGATTCAACAGTATGAAGATTTTCTACAGATAATCTATAATTGCCGGTGATTGAAACTGAGAGCCACATCCACTAGCTGATCTCCATGTAAACAATCTGGATGAGCTCGTTGGCCGTTCCGAGATGAACAAACCAGTCTCAACCACTCCCATCGTTCAAATAATTAAACAAGTGTGGGTGCACATTAAGCTCTGGCGAACAATGCGGCGCCAATGGCACATACGGAACACCATACTCTTGGTCAATTTTTGGGACATTTCCTCCTTCTGAATACCGTCCAACAGCTACACAAAATGGCGTCCACCTTGTTCGAGGAAGATATTGTACATTGAAGTGCGAGTGTACAATAAGCTCTGGCCGTGTAAGAAGTCCCGCATGAAAGTTTTGCATGAAATCGATCAAAATGATAGTTATCAGGAACCCCTAAGCTGGTAGAAAATAGGTAGTGGCAATTGGTACTCCCTAAGGGAATACAAAAAATGCGAGTGCACAATAAGCTCTGGTCATGTTGCAAGAAGTCTTGCATGGCAGTCTTGCATGAAATCGATCAAATGAGCTTAAAAATGCGACGCCGAAAAATGCGACGCCGATGGCACATAATTATGAAACACCATACTTTTGGTCAATTTTCCGGGGATAGACAGACACACCGACCCACCGACTGACCAACCACCAAGTGACATGTAGAAGCTCCTGCCAGAGCTTAAAGGGAATATACAACATTTGCAAACCTCGAAAAATAAAACTACCAAGTTTTTACGAGATACCTTCTTAGGATGTTGGTAAATGACAGTCTAAAGCATCCTTTAAAATTATGGCACCTGGTGTGAAGTCATTTTCAAGAAAATGGTATTTTTGTATACATTTCCAACGGCGGTCGGCCGACCACCGTTGGAAAAACCTAAGTTTTTTTCAATTTCTGCTCCAAATTTACCATTTTTTTCAGTCCACATTTTGTTTGCTACTGGTTACATGTTCATGAACGGGTGCAGGCCAGTTAGACTGGTTCCCTTACCTTACAATTGTCCGGCATCTACATATTGATCCATTTTATTTTTAGTGGAGTCAGGGAATCAGAATACTTGAACATTTTTGTTATTCTTGGTTTTTCCAGCATTTTCGAACACAAAACTTCAAACATGCCAGTGTAACAATATTTGATATATTATACTAACCCCTCAAATAGTTCATTTCTGAAAATTACCGCAAAAGCCAATGATGTACATTCCCTTTAAAAAGAGTCATCAAAAAGTATGCGATTTGTTTTTCAACAGATATTTTATATCAATATATTTTGTAACCATTTTATTTTGGAAACAAAACAAAAACAATTCAAAAGGTAAAAAGTGTTCATGTCACTTAATTAGATATCTTTCTTTACAAAGCTATTGTTCTTTGAGCGGTCGGTGACTTCACTTCCAACAGCCAAAGGGCTGTCTAGATTTCCGTACGTAGATCAGTGGCCGCATCCTTCACTGAGATCTCGAACTCACAATGAAAAGGTGTCACACCTAAACACGCGTGTTGTTTGGTATGTCATAATCATTCAATGTACCGCTGATACTGAAAGACAGAAATTACAAATACACCTGACTCAGGATTGACGCACTATATAAAGTCAACAAAGCAGTAGATGCCTATATCGGGCCTGGTGTTATTAAAACGACACCGATATGCAACTTGATAACTTGTTTGTAACAAATTTAGTTCATTATTTGAATGGTAGGGGATGCATGATAAAAAATCTCACTTTTACAGATGAAACTAAATATAGCATCTGAATGGCTAAAGGAATTGCTTTATGATCTCTGCTTTGCTGTTTGAGCTGTGGACAAGCGTAAACATATTATGAATTTAACGATTGTCTATTTTTCGATAGCACCGTACTAAATTGTAGTCGGAGGTTCCGTTTACCGTCTACACCTGATCCGCTTATATCCGCACTTATCTGAAAGGGCATGTCAGTTTAAAGACGACTCTGCAGGCAGAATGCGCATGAACGCCTGACTGTAGCCCCATTGGTCCGAAAAGTTATAATTTAAGAAGATACCCCAAGGGGATGTTAAATGCATAGTTATTCAGTTCCAAATCCAGAGCAGGTACCTATTTTATCTATTAGAGTTTGGGGTTATTTGAAAATAAGGTATAGAACATAGTTTGGTAAGAAATAATAAATTATCACTAATTTTCACGGAATATGTTTCTCTTTTACAATACGAATACCATGAGCTTTGAGAAAGCGATAGAAGAAATGGATTAACTGCGTACTGAGTGGGATAAGCCTAATGCACGTTGACGTCAGGCCATCTAACTTTTAATTTTATTTTAAATGAGATGCAATTTGAGCAACGGCACACATTTTGCCGTATGAAAGGGAAATGCACATATGTAACCTGCCGTAGCATAATGAGGAATAACCCCCACCTTTGACTTGTCAAGTTATGTACATCATGTTAAATTGCAAATCATTGGCTTTCCAGTGATACCAAATTTATTTCTGTAGCTGAATTTATTCCAAAGATATGTGGCAGCAACTTCAACAGCGTCCCGCCAATCTTCGCCAACCTCATTTCGAGAAAAACGGCTTTGAAAAGAAGAAGAAGATACGCATCAAGTTGCGCCGCCAACGGCAGTGATAAACTTTCTTCAGTTTTTCCACCTTTTGGGGTGTTTTTTTCCCCCAACAAAATTGCATAGTGTGTATCTTGGATACCTTGACTACTCAAAAATACAAAACAACCAATATCAATTTTGACATGATTTTTCTACTACATGTATATCCGACTTCAGGCGTCGATTACTAAAAACAAGGTTTTGGGCGACATTCCTCATTTTGCCTCAGTACATATACACATTATACCTCGTGATTTCAACAAGCTTTTTACACGATTAATCTGCAAATTAGATTATCAACGAGGTGGAGAGTATACCGTGATATTTGCTAGCCGCTTCTTTGCTAGCCGCTTCCAACGCGTAAAAACACTCGACTCGTTGCGAAATGAGAAACGTACCAACGATATACACGGATCTGTCATTGTTACAACTGTTTTCATTTTAGCAAAGACTTTGTGCACGCTGCCCTATTAAGTCGGTCTGGTTTTTTTTTCTGCGCTGGCCTAATTGGTTTTTCCAGTTCGAAGAAAAACATGAGATGTACGTGTTTTCACGAGAGTGTGCCCTTTGCCAAAGCTGTCAACGAATCGGAGCGTACATCACCAACAAGTCCATGCCTCCTCGACAGCGGAACTGTTACAATGACCCTGTCTGACTTCTTCTTCTTCTTCTTAGAGAAGCGGAGGCAATTTCTGCGCTCTGGATCCGTGACGTTAGCGTGCATGATGTACGTCCCCTTTTCGTCATCGGCTCGTAGCAGTGCTGTCGATGAAAGCTCGAGTTGCCGGGCCAAATTAGTCCTCCCGAGATACGCTGATGATGGGAGTCGGGCCCCTTCCCAATCCCTACCCCCGGGGTTTTGTCAGCCTGTTTATACGGCACGGGTCCTTACGGCAAGGGCCGGTAGTAATTAGCTGACGGGGCCTTGCCTCTATGCGGTTCGGTCATTATAGACAAGCCGTGGCACGGCGTATTATAGTCGAGATGACAGCTGACGATGTTGGAGTGGTTGTTTGCTGATGAACGGCTTATCATGTTCGAGTTGCTTGTGTATGGTTTCCGTCACTTGACCCATGATCGGGCCCGGCGCGGGTAGCGACTGGCTTGCCGTAAATAACCCATCCAACGAACCTGCCAGTCCGTCGCCAACATCAACATCGTCAAAAAAGTGACACAACACTGTCTTATACTCCCATGTCACGTCCTCACTGAGTGACGCAACTTTGATTCATCACGTCACTTTTCTTTAATCTCAAGAAAAAAATGACAGTGGATCTTTGTCATATTCGTCAATGGAATAAATTTCGAAGCCAACAGGAGACGCCACACTTGAATATTTTAAGCGGGTTTACAAAAAGATGGGTTTACAAAACGGAGTGTCGTCATGGCAACCATTTCCCCCGTAAACTAACCTGTTCTAACCGTAAGCAGTTTTAGTAAGTGTTGATATCTATCGTTTATGTTTGGCTCCATCTAGGCCTATGATGGTTTTTCATACCAGATGAAAGTTTATTAAAAATGATTGAAAACGCATTCCGAAGAATGTTGTGATTAGTTGACTTTATACACGTGTAGACAATCATACGCAGTATGCTCAAGGAGTCGGATTTTTCAATGGCGAATAGTAATGTGATCCATCATATAGGGCCTACTGTAAAACACATTTGAAAACATTTCAATTTAACGCATATTTAATGTATACGGCATAATTAGATTTGCAGAAGTCTGTATTGTAAAAGTTCATAAGGACTCTGGATTCCAGTTGCTGGACGGGGTGAATACTAAATTTGCTCTATTTACTCGTACTGTGAAAACTCTATTAACCCATTTTTGTAATCATGATTTCTTTTTGAGTGTTTCTCTTCATTTTGCGACGAATAAACCTGATCCAAAATGTCTCTAAACCTGTTTTCCAGAGAGGGTGAAAACTTGTGTGGACCTGGCTTAGTCCACAGAAGATTCACGCAACCTGCATCGTGTGGACCTGTTTTGTTTTCAGGTCTAACACTAACAATGCGGAAAATGGGTACAAAAAGTGTTTAATTTGTAATCACCATTTTACGGTGCATTTGTAACAAACGTCAGGCTGAAGGTTCAAAACAGACTCTTAATCGCTTACTTACAATGTTGGCCGCGAACCAAGCAACCAATCCCAGTGTCAGACAGCCTCACGTTCAACCCAACCGTGCAAATAGCCTATATAAACAGCAAGGGATCCATGCTCCAGCTCAAATAAGCCACTGTAATTGTACTTACCACTTGCGTGTCGTTGTTGCATTTGTCCGATCCAGCGAAAATATTCTTCTCTTTATTGTTCGATTTGTCTTCATCCGGGTCCTCTGGGCACTGATTGATGTCTATAGACCGTAGATCTATATCCAGCCCACTTGTTCCTCTAGACAGAAAAAAAAGTAAGATAAATATTTACTCGTGATAAAATTGTGTTAATGACATTTAAAGGGCCGGAATATCAGACGTTTTAAAATGAAATCCCGGTACATCTTGTTAAAGCGCCAATCATTGGCTTTCCAGTGATACCAAATTTATTCTGTAGCTGAATTTATTCCAAAGATATGACGCAGGAACTTCAACAGTGTCCTGCCAAGTTTCGCTAACCTCATTTCGAGAAAAAAAAGTAGTTTTGAAAAAAAAAGGACACGTATTGCGCCACCAGTGGCAGTGAAAATCGTTCTTCAGTTTTGTCCACTTTTGTGGGTATTTTTTCCCTAACAAAAATGCATAAAGTGAATCTTGGATAGCTGGCATACTCAAAAATACAAAACAATCAATATCGATTTTGACATGATTTTTCTAGTAATCCGACTTCAGGCGTCGATTACGCAAATCAAGGTTTTTGGGGACATTCCTCATTTTGCCGCAGTAGGTCACATATTGTCTTCTTGCGTCCCATTCACCTCTATTTCCAGTATTAATTGGATTGAATTTTCTTAGGTGTGTTTTGCAACTTCTCTGGTTCTACACTGTCGCGATTTTCGTTATAAATACGTGCGCGAATGTGAGATGATGTCGTGTTAAGAAGTTAAGCCTAGTTTCAATATCGACGTTAAGCTTATGCAGGCTACGCAGACAGTGCGCAAAACTGTCGGCAAAGTTGAAGCGGGATTAACTTTGCCGATATACTGCGAGATAGTTTGCGTCTGTCAGGGTTGTCAGCGACATTCGTGGATGTTTCCATAATAATTATGTCTGCGTTGCAGTTTGGTCTTGTTTGCGTTGCTCTCCGCATTTCATACCTCGATATTGAAACTAGGCTTGATAGTGTGCTTCTGCATCCAAAGTTGCCGGAAGTTTTGGGTTCTGTTTATTGTTTTCGTGGGTTTTAATTTTCAGTGTTCTTTTGTTTTCAGAGACCTGTGTCTCGGGAATTTCTGTGCCTGGATTTTCCACACAGCATAAGCTGAAGGGTAAACTTTCTGTGGCTAATATTCTCAAGATAAAAAAAAGTATACCAAATGCCCCATTCTTTTGCAATCACGCAAACCAGCGTTAAAAAACGCCTTGTCTATTTGAGTCACAGATTGAGTGGTTGGGGGATACTGCGCCCTCAAGAGGGCGTTTCGTAGAGAACATCAATTCCTTCAGAAATGCATAATCGGGTCAACGAAAACTATTGGAGGATCAGTAAACAACACAACATCAAACTATCATGACTCTATATACCCCAAATTAAACCGCTCTAAAAGTAGTAACAATTTAAGTAGTCCTCAAATAAAAAATAATAATAATAATTTCATTACGAGTGGCAGCGTCGGCGGAGGCGTTTCTAGCTGGGGGAGGAGGGGGGAAGCAACTTGCCCCTCTGGCGAAATTCCTTCCTCAACCCATTAAAAAAAACTATAAAGTCAGCACACCTCACATCCGCAGCTACCAGTAGTATACTATTCCAAAGTGATAACAATTTTCAGGAACGGCAATAAAATTAAAAACACTTTTTTCCCTGGAAAAAAAGTCCAATTTGCGCACCCCCCCCCCCTCCCTGAGCACAACAAAACCTTAGATACGTTGCACCTTTAAAACCATGTTTGTTCCTGGATTAAAGCATGGTTCGCTTTCCACCAGAGACGCAACATTATCCCCTCCCTGACGGGCAGGAATTAAAATCTCAAACATACTGCCCTGGGAAGGAAACATGCATGAGATTAACTTCAAAACCTAGAGGAGAACTATCTTTGAGCACGACATCAAGGGCCTGCGATTAACTTTAAATGTGCCAGGTTACATTTTAACCCCAGGCCCAATTAGATCACGTCGGTACACATAGTAACCTCTGGGACGCATACGGAGAGAAAGAACTTCGGCATTTTCAACCCCGTCCTGCCAGTGGCGCCTGCCAGGCCACCAGAGACAGCTAGTAATCGGATGGCTCCCGGTCAAATATCGACCAGAAAGATGCGAAGACGACGGAGAAGAGAAAAAAAAACAGTATCGTGGGACGGGTTTGGGAGAGGGCGCAGGGAGGCAGGTAAAGCAACAGAACCGACCGGGGAGAGAGGCAAGACTTAGCCCGGCGAAAAAAAAATTGGGGAAAAAATACAGGGTTGAACGATGAGTGTTTGCTTCCGGAATCAATGTTGCATGTTCACGTCAGAACCGACCGTAAGGTAACTCAAGGCCATACTATAAGGCCGCGGTTGATTGCTACGGAAAAGAGCGAGAAATAACTCCGTGACTGGCATCGTGAAATCTTCATTATAAATGACATCCGAGTCTCGGTCGACCCAGGGATTTAGGACTGGCTCTGAATTGCAAACAGTTGACTCTAGTGGTAGGCTCGTCCTCGTACAATGGGAAAGGCGGTCAGGCTCGAAACTGAGGGAAAATTGAAGGTAGATAAATATTTTCCGAGCTGATAGCTTGTGCAAAATGAAATGACGCCCGGGACACGTACGCGAGACCGATTTCCCAGGACGTGATGCCGAATTACTGCCGCTGAATATCTTAGCCTACCTTCCAGGGGACTGAGTTCCAGAATCTACCCTCAAAATTGGCGTTCGACTTCAAGCCTGTAAATATAAAGACAGCTTGGATTGCACGGCAGATTCACACTTCACTGGATCGCCAATCTGAAGTGAGCCGTGACGTCCGAGGTTGGTATTATCAGCAAACAGTTCGCAGGGTACATCTTCAATCCACGTGCAAACTTCGATGAATGATGCGACAGCGACATAAATTATTCTTTGCCATCGCTTGTTTGCTTAGAGTAAGATCGGATATATACTCTGATAGTATTAACACTCAGTTTCATTCTTCATCTTTCCAATCAGTGGCGTAGCCACGGGGGGCGTGGGGGGGGGGGGGGCGACAGTCCCCTCCCATGAAACCTTGTCGCCCCCCCCCCCCGTCGCCCCCACTGAGATTTTGAGTTTCTAAAAAAATTATCATTGATCTACATGACGCCCCCCATGAAATGTTCCAGCCCCCAGCGCCCCCCACTGAAAAATTCCTGGCTGCGCCACTGTTTCCAATTAATCGTATTAAAGTTCCAATGTTTGATCGTACGGCTTTGGTCTTTTATCGACTCTGTCCTTGAGGGATATACTCGAATGAAATCAAATGTTTAAGGTCGGATAATTTGGTGTCTTTGGCTGTTAAAAAAATACTCAAAGGTTAATCTACTATGCTTCAAAGGCCCGATTATACAGGGTGGTCCAAAACAAGCACCGGAACCTCATACTTCCACTACCCTGAGACTCAAACCATATACCAAATGCATGGAGAATCTTTTTGGAAAAAAATGAAACCAAGATCGCCCGACTCTGACCAGTGGGTTGTACCAGTAGTAGAGCCGGGGCATCTTTGTCCCGATGAATTACTTAACGCGCCCGGGAATTTGACTTACATTGTAATTGATTGAGGGATTGTTATCTAATAATACCCACATGAAAGAAGTGTGCTTCACAAAATAGGCTCTGCAGCAAAAACTATTGGACCGAATCGGGATATTCTGGTATCATAATTCTTCTAAAAGGATTCTCCATCAATTGGTACAGGTGGTTTGAGTCTCAAGGTAGTGGAAGTATGCCGTTCTGTTTTTTGACCACCCTGTATAGGGGAAAACAACATACGTTTTAAAAGAAGGCTGTCTGTCGACATACGTGTTCTTTACCTGGCATTCGATGCTTCGACGAATTGACAATCGTTCCACTAGTAACAAAATTGCTGCCTTTTAAAACAAATGCTAATGTTACAGTTAATCAAAAAGCAAAACTATTCTAACATCCACACATTTCACTCGTGAAGTATATACTATACACGGGTTGACAAAATTCGTTTTCCAAATATCAATTATCTCAATTGCCACTTAATCAGAGGTAAATGACACTATCAGATGTAATAATAACTCTAAACATTACCGAAATTGTACCCTAGGCATACATTCACATATGCCTTTGTGCACAAAATGTTTCAAACTTTCATGACACCCCATTTTACCTTATCCTACCCCAAGAATGTTGGTACATTTATGTTTTGGACCACCAGTAATCGATCTAGCCTATTTGTGACGCTAAACTTTCGCCTCTAAATAGCAGTTGTGACATTAAGGAGACATTGATATGTCTCCTTAATTTACCTTGTCTCCCTAAGGTAAAACTACACTGAACAAATCATGGTGGTTAAATTTACCGTATTGTCACGGTGAAAAAAAACTGCAACTATACCCAAAATTTGGATATAACACTATATTCTCATCCGATTGTGTTCAGACATATTTACCCAAATGTTGGGTACTTGCAATTTTCAACCACAATTGGGTAAATTTAACCCCCATGATTGTTCAGTGTAGTTACGAACCTTAATGGTATATTTGTAAGTCTTTTTTTTTTTTTACCGAGAACGATACATTAGGGAGATATTCCCATAGACTTGTGCACAAACAGAAATCAACTAAACCCCTCCCATAACCCCATTTCTAAATACTTTCCCAACCTAAACTTTCCAATCATATTACATTCTGGACCGTAAGGAGCCGTTTTAAGCAACCTTCGACAGTATAATGGTAGATAAAGCATTAAGGGGCCACTGAAATATATCTTTAATGCCCGATGCCTCCCTACCGTCAAATCATTTACACAAAGTGTCTGTAAGGTATTCTGTAATGTTTTTAACACAAACACAGAAAATACGTCATACTTTATTTGTCTGCAAAAATCGCCGTGTCCCACGGCATCCTCAAATCACGCGTGCTGATTCGCTTATGGCATTCACCGTTTGAACGCGTTTAACCTGCATCGACCACAAAGGAAATCATGGTCGGATAAATGTCATTGAAAGCTACAATTTCCAAATAACTCTGAAAAGATTTTCAAATCCGCGTAAGTTGAAAAGAGAGTCTGATTTATGGGTTATCAAGTGAGACATATGACCTTTCTTTCT